CCCCCTCCTTTCCGTATTTTTCATTTTTTTCCCCTGTGTGCTGAGTAGTGTTCAAAAACTGGGTTTGCGCATTTGCCGTCGTTGAACGTCCTTGAAGGAGTACGCGTGCGGCCGTGTCTATGCCCGTGTCCCAACATACCAGGGGCTCGCAGTGCCTTCTTCAGCAAACGTTTCGGTAGGGTGTCCGCAGCACCTTCAGAATTGCTGCAGTGCCCTTGGTCAGCTGGAGGGGTCTGGACACGTCATTTGGTCCAGAAAAAGAGAGAGCGGGGAGAGAGGCGATTACAAAAAAAAACAGGACGAGAGAAGAGAGCCAGGGACCTACGCGTCTGTAAGAAGCGTCAGTATCTAGAAAACGGGTACACCCGGGGGAGAGAGGTTCGGGTGCATGCCTCCAGAGATGGGAGCTTCCGCCAACGCTGACGGGTGCGTAAGAGATTGCCGCTCACGCTCCTCTCTCGGGCGCCAAGGTGGTCGGGGAACCGGTGTGGCGGGGTGGGACGATGAGCACGAGGAGGATTTCTCCAGACTGCACCGCAGCAGGAGCAGCATCGGAGAGGAGATGACTCTGAGCAAGGAGCTGTCGGCGAGGAGAAGGAGGATTGGCTTCTGGAGGCATCCGATCGTCACCCTGCGGTGAGTGTTGTTGGAGCTTCAGCATCATCCTTGTGTCTGTCGGTAGTGCTGACTGTATCCGGATTTGCACATAATGGTGGTGGTGGTGCTGCTGCTGGACACACGTGGTGTGCTGCTATTGCAGTCTGTGCTGTCGCACCAAACGCCCCCCGCCCCCCGCTGCTTGGCAGCAGCTCTAGCCTGTCTGACAGCTGACACACAGACCCTCTCATTAGAGTCAGCCCTCCATTCCTACGCTGTGGATTTATCTTCACACCATGACGACAACGAAACCTACCACGCACACGTACAAAAGCGCCGGCGAGGAGAGGGCGGCGTAATTTTTCGTGTTCTCCCGTGTTAGCGAAGGGCCTAAGACGTGGCCTGCCACCCGGCACCCGCCGCAACACCGCTCGCTACAACCAGGGATGTCGATGTTTGTGTCTTTGGTTGTTGCTTCATCGGCCACGCACCGCCTGACCTTTACCCACAGCAGCGGTACGTGCTTTCTCTGCCACGCTGAATTGGACACACGTCTCTTTTGGTCGCAGCAAAAACTTTTTGTGCCGCCGCCCCTGCCGTGCGTGACAGGCTTTGAATTTGAAATGCGTCTTCCGGTCACGCGAATCGAACGGTATATGCCCCGCGGGTTTGTTGACGCAGTAACGAATGCGTTCTGCCGTCAGCAACCACCCCCTGTTGGGATCTTAATCTTTCGCCGTGTTAGCAAAGTCACTTGCTCTCGCGCCATACTGTACCTCAGCAGACGTCGACAAAGATTTTCATGCCGCCGGCGGCGGTTGTTGTCGAAGTTTCCACCGACATGACGGGGTGTACAGCAGTGCCACCAACCTCACAACCTCAGCACACGCATGTACGTACACAGCATATCTACGAGTACAACAACGACCACTTGGAGGGGGCTCTTAGGATGGCGGACTGCTGCACGGGTTGGCGCAGTTGCCACGGCATGTGATCGCCTGTTATTAACTGCCGTTGCCATTTGCCGGCGGCAAGGCAGCAACTCCATCCCCGAAGTGCCCTCTCTTTGTGTTCATGTGTAGGCCAAAAACCTACTACGGTGATGACAGGCACTTGATGTCGGACGCTGGCTATTTTTGCACCAGGTTCTTGATCGTTGCCACAACAGACCACCAGATGGGGGCTCAGAGAGAGAGCTCCTCCGCCTGCTATGATAACCGAAATCCCCGTTCGTCCTTTTCCCCCGGTCTTGTTGACATGTGTGCGTACAGCACTCACGACCGGTGAGGGCATCGCCTTCCTTCCCCAGAAAAGTAATAGAAAAAGGAGCAGTGGCATACTTGGTACTTGCTATCTACAACAGGCTTGAACGCGGAATCGACAGGAAAACGCCTGCAACAACCTGTTTCACGAGGAACATCTCTAGGATACATACATGCGTGCTGAATAATTATTTTGCCGGTGTTTTATTCGGCAGCACGGTCTGTCGGTCGGTCGTTCCCAATGCACACATGCGTTTTACCCGTGTGTGCGTTCGGTGCACGCGTTTCCATGTGTAGCGACAATGGGGCTGGGTGTCGGTTTGGTCTGCTTGTTACATTTTGTCCAGTGTCCTCTCTTCTTCTCTCCGGCCCTTAACCCATTAGAATGTTCTGCTACGTCGTATCTACGACTGCCGAGGTGGTCGATCAGAACGCCTGCTTCGGGGACATCGGGACGAACACTTATAGACTACAGCAGACGGCAGTACAGCGGTACGCCGAGATTCTCCGCCGTCTCGAATGGACAAAAGGTGTTCTGTTTTCCTGCCTCCTCCGCCGCCGCCGAACCTGAGGGACATGCTATCTAGATTACGCGTCCACGAGTAGTCGGCGTGATGGTGCTATAGTAACTGCGGTGTCCGACGTTGCATAGACAACCGCTGCTGTCATGGATTGGCTGCTGTTCGAACATCAGGCCCAGGGCACGTTTATTTATCTGTCGGTGTGTGTGCGCGTTGCATGTTGTACAGAGGCCGCACCAGACCCATCATTCCAGGAGCTTTCGCAGGTTTATCGTATTCAGCAAATATCTTGGATTCCCAGTAGCGTTCGCAGGTTTATCGTATTCAGCAAACATGTTGGATACAGCATACAATCAATCGGGGAAGTTGGGTTAGGGTTAGGGTTGCGGAGTAGGGGCTGCGTCCCCCCTCCTTGTTCTATTTCCTCATTATGCTTGATCCCCGCGAAGGCGGTCCCATCATTCGGCCCCAAAACCGCGTGACGCAAGAATGCGTCGTGGGCACCTTGCTCCGATCGAAACAAACACGGCAGTGACGCGGGGCACCGCGCGCGAGGTGCGCTGCGCTCGTACCCGGGTCCTTCCTATGCAGCATGCCATACCGCACACCCCGCATTCTTGCGAGATTTTGAGTTTTTTTCCGGCACTTTGGTTGTTTTTGGGAGGGGGAATGAAGGTTCACAGCTGTGAGTTTCCTCCGTACGTCCAGGCCCTACTCGGGACTACGGGTCCCGTCGATAGCAGCGTTCCCCGACGTGTGTTGATCGTTTCGGCAGCGGCACTGGAAACTCACCGCCTTTTTTGAAATCGATAGGTGGAGAGTCAGTCCCACGCGCGGAGCACATCGGCGTGACAAGAGCAGACGAATAGGTATTGGGCTACGCATTGACTCTTCGTCCCACGCACGCGGTTGTGTTGTTGATGGCTTGTGCGTCGACACCGTCTTTTCGACGGCGGGTTTGTTGTTCAGCCACAAGGCACCTGCCTACCTCTACATCAAGAATGTGTGGCGCTTGAGCATGGTGGTAACTTCGACGATATTTCTCGACGAGATATGCAGCAACAACAGCAGCAGCAGCAGCAGCAACGCGCAAGATATGGCACAGTTCGGTACCATGGTATCGTTTTTAGACAGCACGCACCGTGCGCAGCTGCAGCGGTGTTTCGCAGGCCCACTGACTTGAATCATGGTCCCTGTTGAAATCCTCCCCATGTTCTGGACTGATTGGTGTCCTTCGCCCCACCCCCAGTATCGCAGCGTAGTACATGGGCCCCCACCCGTTTGACGTTGAATTGTTTGTCCTTATGTGCCGTCCATCCGCCAGCGGCAAGATTTGTGTTTTGACCGCGTGTGCGGCAGAGCTTTGCTCGTAACCTTGCTCAGAGCTTTGCCCAGAGGATGACTAATAGCCTCATTTTGTGTGTGTGCGTGTCATTTTGTGTCCGCGGTTGATGGTTTGCGGCCTGACTGTTGGGACGTAGCGGTAGTACTGCCGGGATGAGTTATCACCTCTCAGCTGCTTCCTGCCGCCAAGCTGGGTCGCTTCGTCGTCGCTGAAAAACAGTTCATTTTTATCCCTGGACAAAACACAGCGATGAGTGTCGAAGGAACATAATTGCTGGCTAGCCCTGGTTTGCTCGCTTAGTGTTGGCTTGGTTTTTTTACCGGTACGCTTTTTTACCGGTGGCGTCAGAACCACTTTCGGTGTCATGTGGTGCAGGTTTGATAAAACATGATCCCGCGCTTCACTTTTTTGTTGCACCATGGTAAGGGTGCACCAGATGCACTTTGTTTTCCTACTTGAACGGTGTGTGCTTACCTCCTCTCTCTCTTTCTCTTTCTCTCTCTCTCTCTCTCGGTCCTTCTCGATGGACGGCCTCCGTTATTTGTTGCCACGACTGAACAGACTCTTCGGCAAGTGCGTGGTGAGATGGGCACGATCCTCAGCGCGAGCGGTGGCCGCCCACCCGGCGTTCGTGCTCGTCGCCATCCCCGGAGTTGCGGCGCTGCTGGTTCTAGAGGCTGTCCCGGGACCCCATACTGCGTTTTTGGTGCAGGTATAACTCCTATGGTTACGTATGGGGGGGGCGGGGGGGGGGAGGGGGTACTCATGTTCTTCATGTCATAGCTGTTGGTTTTGAGAGTAGGGTTAACTCTTCGAGCTACATGTAATTCATGAAGGGAACCATGCCCGCTTCAAGTTTTAGCTTGGTTCGGGCGGGGTTGTGTAGTGTACACGGCCCGATCAAAACGATCGTCCGGTGGGGGGGGAAAGGTACTTCGTGCTCTGTTCTCACGTCTTCGAAAAACTTTGTCTTGTTGTGTTTTTTTATTTTTTATCCCTGTCTCGATCGCGCAGGCAAAACACGTGGTTAAGTTTGTTCTGTGGTGGGTTGGTCTCGGGACGGTGTCTTCCGTTGGCCTCGGCTGCGGCTTCCAGACCGGGGTCCTCTTCCTCTTCCCTCACATTATGAAGGTGAGAGTGATGGAACAGACCCCATCCTTCCCATCTGGGGATGTGTTTTTCCCGCACACTATGAAGGTCACGGAGATGGAACAGACCCGGCCTTCCCTTCCCGTGGTATGAAGTGTTAGGGTGGTGATTTTCCGGCGCAGCTGAATCCCCATTCCTAGAAAAACAAGAGTTTCCGACAGACCCGTATAGTTTGGAGTGGCTCCAGGCTGTATGTACAATGAAACGGTGTGGCCATCCGTGATCGGTCGGCCCTGTGGGAGCAAAGCTCGGTCCTGTCGAGAACGCGTTCGTCATTGGTCTAACCGCGGATGCCTGCGAAACATGAGTGCCCCCTCCCGCCTTCTTTTCCGCTGTTTCGTACGCTGTTTCAGACGTGTCTGGCGGTGGAGGAGTGCAATAGCCTAGATTTCCCATCCTCCGGAGACATGTGGTTCAGCGCGTCGGATGCGATATTCTCCTGCGGCCCGGAGGACGAGCTGTTCAATGCTGCCAGCGGCGAGGTCCTGGCCGGCGCGCATGAGGATTTTTTGCTGGGAGGCGGTGTAGGAGGCCACGCGGCGTCCCAGGTGTCGTTCCTTGGCACGTTCATGAAGGTACGGTAGTTTTGTGCTGTTAAGGTTGTTGTCGCTGTTGTTGTTGTTGGCTGTGTTGGTATTGTTGTTGTTGTTGTTGGCTGTGTTGGTATTGTTATTGTTGTTGTTGTTGTTGGCTGTGTTGGTATTGTTGTTGTTGTTGTTGTTGTTGTTGTTGTTGTTATCGTCGGTGGTGTTGGTGTTGTTGTTACAGTTGTTGATGATGATGGCAGATGACAGATGGTTGTTGGGTTTTCGAACGTGATGCGGATGTCCTGTGGGGGGGAGGGGGTGCGGCAGGCTGGTTGTTGTGCACATGGAATAGGGGCCCAAGATATTTTACAGGCTGTGATCATCTGGATATTTTGCGTTGAGGCGCCTGCACCATGGCCACACTACTATCAGTAATAACATCACCTGGAGAGACAGGGCGCTGTTTTTTGTCAGGGTACGGTAGAACGCACGCTGTCGGTGGCGGGATCTCTGTCCAGCCAGGCGGGGCGGACTGCTTTCTGGTCTTGAAAAGCGCTCGATTTTGCCCCCCTGTTCCACAGCCGACGAGATGTCCCTTGTTTCACTCTGCGTTCTCCGGTGCATGTCTTGCAGGCATCGCAATGATTGTGTGCCCGGAAGGAATATTTTTTGCCCAAATCACTTGGGGTTAGTCATGTTGTATCTATGCGTTCGCTTTTCTTCGTTTGAGCAGAGTTATTCGATCCTGCGGCCTCACGCAGCAGCATTACGGCAGTATCACCCCCCCGTCATGTTACCCATCAAGAAACCGTTTTGTGTCCTCCCCCTTGCCGCGTGGTGCCTACCTGCCTGTGCGTCCCCTGAAGGTGTACCCGGCGTGCTTGCTTTGGGGGATAGGGACGGCGATCGGGGAGATTCCCCCCTACGCCTTGTCTCGAGCCGCTGCCGAGGTGAGAACAATATCGAAAAAAGGTGGAAAGACTTTGTATTCAGATCCGGTACTAATTACCGGTAGGTTTGACAAACAACAATAAAAATCTAGAGGAGTTCTAACTGATTAGTCAAATACCCAAACAAGGGTTTTCTGTTTTTCCAGCAGATCGCAGTTTTGATATCTTGACTTTTGAAAAAGAATGCTGCGCCTTCGTTTGGTCGGGAAATCAAGTTTATCAAAATTTGGTACACGCTTTTTCCCGGCGGCCAACAACGGAGCCAAAGTTGATTTCGACTCTGTGATATTTTCATTTTTGTTGCCCCTTGTTGTACGGGTTACTGGTTTGTTTTTAGCGGGGCAGCGAGAGGATTAACCTTACCCCCACCCTAAACCGCACGACACCGACGCCTGCTCCCGCCTCCAGCCCTACCCTTAACTTGTTTCATGACAAGTGCCGCTTCTCTGTTGCTCGTGTTTGGTTGAGTACGCTCAGTCCTGCTTTGTTCTGGATGTCCTTCTCTGGTTTAATTTTTGGTTGAACTCCGCCTTTGTCTCTGATAGGCGGCCTGCTTTTTGGCTGCGTACGTTCTCTGCTGGTTTGTTTTGATGTTCGATTTCTGGTCGAATTGTCGTGTGAACTCTGGTTGATGGTTTGTTGTGTTTGTTCTTTTGTTTTTTGTCCTGTCAGGCGGGGGAGGAGGCAGACGAGGACGAGGAGCTTCTGGACCTGGAGAACCGTGACCCCAAGCTGCTCGGGAAGTTCGACTTGGTGAGGGAGGAGGGCCAGACAGGCGACCGCCGCGCACGTTGTTGTTGTTGTTGTTGTTGTCGTCGTCGTCGTAATAAAACGCATGTCGCACGAATCCCTGCTGGCGCTGAAAACTGTACACCTCTTTTTTGTCGCGCAAGACTGTGAAGTGGCACATGCAACTCGTCAGCGTTCGTATGGTTGTAGCACACCGAAACTAAGTGACCTGGGGCACTGGCGCGCTGCGTTGCCTTTATTTTTGATTGCCGCTTCCTTCGCCGCTGCTTGCTTGTGCGGTTGGTCGGCAAACCCCGTCCCACTTGCAAATGGTGCACTTCGTATTTTTCAGTGGGCCGAAGAGTATTAATAGTAATGACACGTGGGAGTTAGCTTGGGGTGGTCGATTTAATGTGCGAGCTAATTTATTTCCCCCCCCTGATTTTTGTGGCGTACTCTGCGTACATGTAGGTACAACATGATCGTTTTTGGCGCATGACCATCTGATGATTGTCCGATGGTCCCCCTTGCTTGTGACACCTCCACGTGGTACTGTACCATGCCTTCTTGTGTGAGGCTTTTCCGGAGCTCTCCATACACAACGGGCACCCGAGGATTATCTTCTGTGTATTTCCTGTTTTTTGCTGTTTATTTTGCGCCAACTTTCCTTTGTGTTGTCTCCTCATCCCGCTGCTTTTGGTTGGTTGGTTGCTTGCTTGCTTGCGATCCACCCACCCACCCAGGTCACTCGAATAAAGATGTGGATGATCGGGCTGCTGAAGCGAAAAGGTTTCATGGGGGTGTTTCTGCTCGCGTCCGTGCCCAACATGGCCTTTGACCTATGCGGCATGTGCTGCGGGCACTTCATGATGCCCTTCTCCACTTTCTTCAGCGCCGTTCTCCTCGGAAAGGCTGGGGTTAAGGCGAGTCATGGAGGGGTGGCTGGAGCGTGGACGGGAAAGTTGTACTTGTGTGTACAAGTATGTATGCGTTGTGCTTTTGTTTCTTGGGTGTTGGGATCGATTGCTCCAAAGAGGGGCTTGGCCAATAATAATCAAGTTAAGTTAGCAGTGGTGTACTTACCGGGAAACAAAGAAGGCAAACGGACACGTCTTGTTATCGTATCGGTTAGGTGTATGTGTTTGCTGTTGCGGGTGTTGGCGGCTTCCGTAAAACTGAGCAGTCACGTGGAATGGATCTGATGATATCTCCTGCCCCCAAAGACGGTGTTCTCCGATATTTTCGTGTCTAGACCACACTAAATACAACTTTTGAGCGATTCCGCCTGTTGTTGTCGCTCGTTTTATTTCTCCACCACCGCCGCGGCACCCAACCGGTGAAAGTCTCCTGCGTTTGCGTTTCACTCACACAGACCCGACCGACGCCTGGTTGATCACGATGCGATGGGCTTCCCACGGAATTATCTATCTTGTCGGCGAACACAATCGACGTGGCTCCTCTCTTCCCGCGTGTGAAAGTTTTTTGCGGCTATCTCGGGATTTTGGCACCACCGTGAGCATGGGCATGATCGTGGAACGCGCCATTTTTTGTCGTTGTTTTTTTTGCCGGTTCAGATTATTCTCCAGACGGCGTTCTTCACGATGGCGTTCCACGAGCACCATCTGGAGGCGTTCATCACCGTCATCAGGAGGTGGACACCGGAGTCGTTGAACCTCGGGGGAATTCTCCACGTTGCACTCGTTCAGGTAACAACGGAAGTACATGTAGGCCCTGAAAGTACCCAATAAATATCCAAGCTCTAAGCAATATACCTGGGCGGGTTGGTTCGTCGAGATATTTTGCATGTAAGAGGTACTTACGAGGTAAATTCGTCATTTAAAAAGTTTACCGGGGGATGCGCGCACCAGAGGAAGGTTGCTGGCTCGTGCTGTTCATTCACGTTTTACCCAGCGCACAGGGTCCGTTGGTAGCCAGGAGCATGGGAGGAAATAATTCGTTGTCAACCGCAATCTTATTGCGTGCTTAAGGTCGGGGTCCAAGAACTCTGAGAAAGTCTCCACGTATGCAATCCACTTGCCGGGCGGGAGCAAGGGGGATGGCATGGTACATATAACGACCCCCCCCGAGCACCATGTAGACTAAGGGGTGACGTCTTGGCTATGGAGGTGTTTACTATACAAGTCTCCAGTCCTGGCCTGTGCATGATACCGCGCATCGTGCGTGCGTGCGTGCGAATTTCTCCCCCCGTCGCCGCACTCGAAGGCTTGTGATTTCTCTTCGCCTCCACACGTTTGGTGCTTCAGCTCTTTGCCCTTTACTTTGATTCGCTTGCCCATTTTTCATGTCACCTAGCTTATTTTTGCCCGTTGTATTTCGATTCACTTGCCCATTGTGTGTGCATGTTCACCTGCCACCTGCCTGCCGCCACCAGATGAAGGCACAGTTCCACACCCTGGCCGGGGAGGGCGAGTCGGTCGTCCAGGCGGTGGACATCGAGGACGGGGCCGGCGGAGTCGTTGAGGCGGTCATCTCTCGGTTGAAGGCCGGGTGGACCGTGGTGCTTGTGGTGATCGTGCTCGCCTTTGCGGGGTCCTGCATCGAGGAGATCGCCAAGCGAAGGTATGTAGGCAGGAGGAAGGGATTGAAGGAGTTTCGGGTCGGGAAAATGACGACGCCGTGCTAGGAAATAGAAGTAACATCCAATCGAAGAAAACCTACCCGTTCGAGATACAGGCACAATCGAGGGGGGTGTTTTGAAGTCTTGACGATTTGTATAGGTGGCTGGCTCACAACCGCCAGGTTCTTCATATATTCTTTTGATGACCTGGCGAGAAGGGTATGCTAACGGAAGAGAGGAGAGCGAGACGGGCCACCGATGTTTGGTCGCCGTTGAGCCTTCGTTTTTTGACGCCCTTGTTTTTTTTTCTTCCGTGTGTTGTGCCATGAGTGCCCTGCTTTCAATGATTGTCCATCTGCGAAGCAAGCTGAGTGGTTGCCGATTTTCGGGGCCTGTCGTCGACCCGATTCTCGCTTATGGCGACCATGTCTGCCCCGCCGACGTATTGTTTTGTGGTAACCCTCTACATGAACTAATTTATCGTCCATCGCGTGTATTGTTCTATCCCTTGCCTCCCCCGAAAGCGACGCCTTGGGACGTGACCAGACTGTAACTCGTGTGGTAGATACTGTGGTTGTACCTAACCGCTGCTGTTGTTGTTTTGTTCCTTATGAACTGTGTTTGACCGTTGTCTCAGCGCCGCGTACGAAGACAAGGAGACGATCCGCGTCTTCGCCGAGGGGAACCGGCAGCGCGAGATCGAGAAGCACCGGGTCCGGGGGCTCTCGTCGTCGTCGTGTGTGGAGGGAAGGACGGGCCGAATTAGCGACAGCGATGACGACGACGACGATGACGATAGCGACCATAACGACGGCGGCAAGGTAGCCGCCGCAGCCACCAACGCGGCGGCGGCGGCAGCAGCGGCGCCAGCTGTAGGGGGCGGCACGTGAGGATCGTGGCGGTGGCAGCGGCAGCGGCAGCTGCAATAGTGTTTTGATGAAGTACATTAACTGTGGATGATTGTGATAATCAGCGGGAAGGACCAACGGCGGCAGGCGGCGATGGTACGCAGCACGTCGTACAAAAAAGGTTGCCGGTCAAAGCATGGTGTTTTCTTCTTTTTTCTGTTGGTTGTTGTTACTGTGTGCGTGTTTGTTTTCTGCGGTATTTGGCGGTACACCTCTTGGTGTCTGGTATCGGAACAGCCCCCGGGCCGCACCAAAGCCGGATAAATCCAAGGTCGCGAGGACGCGAGTTCATCGCCGTCGGGTATTACCGAAGTATGCAGCACGGTTTGACGGCAAAGCTTGCTTGGCAAGACTGCAAGCTGCTCTGGCCTTCTCGGTGTAGGTGAACGCTAATCTTGCAGGAAGGGGGAGGGGGGGTGCGATCGAGATATTATTTTGAGGAGCGTGATAAAGAGGAGGCGTTGTTTCAGCCCCTGTGGGGGCGGGGGCGGGGGGGGGCGGGGGGCAGCAGTTCATGTTCCAAGGGCCAAGGCCAAACGAGGGCAGACTTACTGCTGAGAGTGCACGTACGTGCAGAGAACGTGGCACGCTACTAGAGCGTAGCCCGAATTATTTCGCTATTTTACTCAAGACACGCGGGGCGATAGAGACACGCTATGTTGCGATCCCTGGGGTGTAGAGAGCAGGGGGTTGGGTAGGGAGGGAGTGAAATCTGATGAACCCGAGGGTGGACAGCAGTGGGTAGATAGATGTTGGTGCTCTGGAACCAGGGAACAGCTCGACTGTCGCCCCCCGAAAGCGTGAAACATGCAAGTACAGTAAGGCGCGATCATCATATCGGAGTAGTGTGTTCGTGGCTTCATTCCAGCCATCGTTTGTTTTTGTGGTGACGTGAGTGAGCATCACCTTTTGGTGTCCTCTTCGCGCCCCATCCTCTAGGTTGTTGCTCTCCGACGCTGTTGCTACAGTAGAGTGTGTCCCGCGGAGGCAGGCGTGGTTGGTGGGATGTACAGGACATGCGCCAGAAGTGGAGGAAATGATACCGCCAGATGCAACCAACGTCGCACGATTAACGTGCACCACCTGAAGCTTTCTGAACCTCGGCAAGGAGACGAAAGCATTGTGCCAACGCACGTTTCAGGAATGCGCGTCAGATTTGTTGCATTTGTATCCTTGGCAATGCTACTTTGACGGAAGTCCCGCCAAAGCAGCGGCTGTGACGTCGGCGCCCAGGGAGGCTGACTCTCTTCAAGGCAGCACGTGATTCGTTGCATGTAAGCATTATTTTCCTGTGATTTCTATAAATCTACAATTAGCAACTGCAAGGGGACATTGTCACTAGCATTCTGAATTGTGCGTTCGCAGGCATGACGAGTTCGGGACGGCCTATTTACTGTTGTTGCGACTTCGTATTCACTCACCTGTTCATGTGCCCGGTATCTACAGTAGTATTGGTTCCGCTCTCCCTCTCATGTCTCATCGAACTTTTGTCCCTGTGAAACACGTTGCATTACGTTTCACGTTTGAGACGTTCGCTTCTTACGCACGGAGGGGGGAGCAAGTGAACCGGGGCTGCTGGCATGAACCACATCATCACCCGGGCTTCGTCTCCGTGCTCGCCTAATGCGATCTGCCTCCGCAGGACACGGAAGGGCATCTCTATTTTTGCCCACCACGCGGTGTGACAGCGCAGCGCGTGCTCGTGCACGCGTCCTGCTGCGATTAAGTCGTATAACAACAGCGAGCTGTAGACAGAGAGCACCGATGGACCAAGCATTAATGCCTTACTTACGTGAGAGCTGTCTTGGTTCTCACAGAACCCGTCGAATGGAAGGGTGCCGAGGGTGGTCGATCATCGGCGCGCCTACAACAACTGTTTAGGCCAGAGGCCGAGAACGGCAAGCAGAACAAAAGTACGTTGTGTCCCAAAATACGTCGTGTCCCAATTAATTGCACAAATTGAGGTTCTGCTGTGCAGCTTACTTGCAGCTCTAGTACACAAAAAAACGAGACTGTTACGGTCAGAGCGCGAGAAAATAAAATCAAGCATAGTCGAGTCTACATACGACAGTCAGGACTCTAGGGAGGTTGGTTGCGGGTTTGTTCAGTGAGAAACGTTGGGAGAAAAGCTCTCCATACCTGTGCTCTCGACCCGAAGCAGTTTTTCCTGGTCGCCCGCAATAGAACAACAATCCCAAATTCTTGGCGAACGAACATAAACTTCCCAGTTGAGAGCATCATCGGAGAATCTTCTCTACGGCGGTCTGCGCAATGAGCCGACAGCAAACGATTCGCCCCCTCCTCGCCATACAACCGCCCCCCGCAATCCCTCCCCAGTCAGACAGATTCTCTCACCGCACCGACAAAGCACCAGAAGCACATAGTTCGAGAACCAACCACCGTGAGCAAGGCCTCTGTCTTTTCGGTAGTGCATTGGGGCTCAGTGCCGAACCGCGGGCGGGAACACAGTTCTGACTGATTGTCGTATCGGCAATCGTTGAGTTGGCCAGAAGAAGGGCAGCAAGGGTGGAACGAGATCAGCTTCCTCGCGCATACAGAGAGGTGAGCGTGGGTGTCAGCAGGAGCGTAGAGGCAGTAGCGTATATATGACAGGCAGATGCGTTTCGTATGCACGCAAGTGCTGCATGTATTCATGCCTGTGAATCGCCTTGGTAACAGCAATGACAACACGCGGCACACCGTTTTTACCACTGCTGACAGCATTACAATCGAAGTTTTCCCGAAGTTGTAGTGTACAAGCCCGGTTCGAGGCATGCAGAGGCGTTGTTTGCGTAGTGGAGATACCTGTTTCTTTGGCACCAAGGTTCCCGGTGCTACGTGGACCTGCCAACGATTATATTCCGCCCGGGCGTACAACATACGTAGAGCTACTTACGCAGCCGACGGCAGGTGGTCTCCATATCGGAACGTGATTTCTCGGAACATTCCTTGGGTATTCCTTGGGTAGGCGAAGCCCGCGAGTGCAGCGTGCTACGGTAGATTTTATCCCTTCTTTGCACCGCGGCACAACAGTCTTACAGATAAAGTAACCTAACCCTCACCCCCTCTTGTGTCTTGTTTTCAGGCGTCCAGCTATCCCTTACTCGCGTGCGAAGGTGTACAATCCTCGTGGTCAGATTGTGTAGCAGGTAGCAGTGGGTGTTACGATGATATGTATGCATGTTGTTGTTGGTCATCAACTCGACGGCTCTCTACACAGCTATACAGGGTTTGAAGAGAACCCCAAACACACGCACACGCCGTGATTAGTGTCGCCGTGGTCATCATGCTTCATCTGCATCCCCCCCCCCCCTGATTTCTATGCCTTTTCACCCTGTCTCGCCGTCTCCTCTGTGTTCGACTAGTCTACCCCTCGTAGGTGCGGATCGGATTGTGTATCAAGCGATCGATCAAGATCAAGGTCTCGATCAAGGACAGAGCTCTCATCACGCTATCGAGAGCTTGCTTGCCGACTTCGGTCTTCGCCGTCCATACTACCTGCTACTGAGAGCAGTCACCGTTGTCCCGCGCGAAATACACCGGCGTCGTGCCGACATGGCTTGCTCGGACGGGGATTCTTTCACTATCGATTCTGACGTCACGTACGATGCTTCCCAAGAATTCAACGGTTGCTACGACGCGTCGGGAGTCTTCAACTCTGAAACCGTGTACTTCTTGGAGGGAGAAGAGCTCGGCGGCACACCGGGGGTGTATAATAGTCTTGAAATTCACGACGATCATGTGAGTGAGGCATACGAATTTTTCAGAGGTGTGAGGTTGGCCATATTTCAAGTATATTGCTGGCTGACTTTGCGAGCCCTCAAGGCTCAAAGGGTCGGCCGTCGAAACCACATATTGACAGACAGCCATGCTACGTTGGCGCATGGAATGAATGGTGGCATGGCCGGTGGAGTACAGTAGGCAACTTTGGATAGGACCAAGTCATGACACCTGCCCGTTTCATCACGTTTCATGGATGAGTCTCGACCGAGTGACAATACTACGAAGTATACAGCAGTAGGTCGGGATTCTCACAAACCCTATTTAGCACATTCTTGGGTCTACAAATGGCTTGTTGGTCATGACACCTACATATTCAAGTACATGAGCGCCATTTTATGACGTAAATATGATCTTGTCGTGGGGGTGTTCTGTCGGTCATCACAGGCGGGCCATTGTCTGTCATGTTTTGTTGTACTCGACACAAGGCATTCAGGACACACTCGTTGGCTTTGTACATGTCGTTGGCGGCGCTCGCCCTCTACGAACCGTTAATAATGTACCCTACCTCCATGTGCTTCACTCGATCAAACTAAAGGAAAGGACATACGGCTCTTCGAACGCTAGGGCTCCGTACCAATTCATGAAAAATCTTCTGTGTGGATGATTCGGCTGCGGTACGCCGTGGAAACCCCTGCATCACGCCGGTGTGGCAGACTCTGACTCCGTACAGCCGCATGCGTGGACGACGAAATATTGCAGGGTGTCTGGGCACTGGCATATTATACGACGGACGGGACATTCTCCCGCAGATGCCAAGACGCTGAAGAGGAAGATTCGTCAACACTGCATCCTGCAGACGTCTTGCAGTGGGACTGCAAGGACCCTGACGATCTTGATTCTGTCCTGTACGCAGATGTCGACGCGGCGGTGACCATTACCTGTGGCTGTGACTCTCCAACCCCGGCGCCGACCGCTACTCCCGCCCCCACACTCGGCCAAACCTCACCTACTTCCGTACCTTCAAGCCCTTCGCCTGAGGTGGTGACGGAATCATCTTCAGGAGAAGGTGAGCAGCTGATGTAATTCGTGTACGTTGTTTTATTGTTCCGGGCAGGGTGAGTTCGCATCATTGAAAGTACTAGGGTACGTGATGAGTCTGATCCATGCCTGGAGATTCCCAGCGAGCGTCAGGCACATCCTATTCCTGGCTTCCCCTTGTGCACGACAAAGTGTCTCGACGTCAACATCCATTCCATTCATCGCGGCTTTGACGTGTTATTTTAACTATGCCAATATAGCGACTCCGGTGGGCGCCATCGCTGGAGGTGTGCTGGTGAGCGTACTGGTGGTTGGCGCCGTTATCCTGGCTTTCCTCTTCAAGACTGGTCGTTTGAAGACCTGCCCCGGGGGCTCGAGAAATACACCTGCTGATGACGTCGTCGCGCGAGGTTCTGCTAGCGGCTCGGCGCCGACCCGAGGGGCGCGGGTTGAGGCCACCGGGGGGGCCATTAGGGGTCCGTATCCCGTTCCCTACCAGTACCCGGCGGCGGTATGACTCGAGTTGCAGACCGTGCGGGGCGAGGAGTATTCTACTCTCGCCATTCACTGACAAAGGAAGCCTGTTCAACTTGCCCTGCGGCTTCTGCAGAGCGCCGTCGC